TTTTCAATTTGGTTTTTTTTTTTTTTTTTTTTGGCAATTGGAAAAAATTCTAAATACAGTGGTAAAAAAATTTATCACTTTTATTGACAGTTTTTATACAAAACAAAGCGAAACAAATGGTATTAGGAATGGTAATTTAAAAAAAAAAAAATATTTTTTTTGCAATTGAAACAAATTCTAGACCCAATGGTAAAAAAATTATCACTTTAATGGATAATTTCCATAAAAATAAAAGTCAAACGGATACTAAACTTTCAACATTTTTCAGGTGAAAAATTATATCAATCAAACATAATTAATTATAATNTTTTGTTTTTTCAAATTTTTTTTTGTTTTTTTATTTTGGCAATTGGAACAAATTCTAGACCCAATGGTAGAAAAAATTATCACTTTAATGGACAATTTCTATGAAAAATGAAGTCAAACGAACACCAAACTTTCAATATTTTCCAGGTGGAAAATTATGCCAATCAAACACAAATAATTACAATTCCCAATAAAACATTTTCTAAGCAATTTAATTCCCTGTAAAACATTTTCTTTCCACTCATTTTTCACCTTTGCAATCAAACGGACCCTTAGTGTTTTGTAAGAGGGAAAATTTTATATTCAAGAGATTAAGTATGGTTCATTTCAAAATTAAGAAATAATGTTTAAAATTTCAAATTTCAAATATTAATTAAATTTTATTTATGAAATAAGTAATAAAAATATTTTTCATTAATTCAATATATGAAAGTCGCAATTTCATACAATATGGTCACAAATTATTTTTAAATCATAAATCAAAAATTTAATAGGTCACAAATTATTTCTCGATAAAAAAAAAATTATACGTTAAAATTTATTAATCAATCACAAATCACAAATTTTATAAGTTACAACTTATTTAACAGTCACAAATTATCAAATTAATTTGTCACAATTTGATAAATTATGAGTTTCAATCATGATTTTTTTATTTTATTAGTCACAAATTAACCAAATTATCGGTCACAATTAACTAAATAATTGGTCATAAACACTGGCACTCACCACCTGCACTACAACCAAATAAAAACCACCCTAAAACTTTGACACCAGATCGCGATCCAATTTGCTAGATTTTTCTCGAATCTCCTCTTAGTAACAAAAAATGCAACAAAACACGAGTCACAATAAGTTTGACTTGTAAAAACTCCGGCACCAGTCATAAAAAATCCGGCACTAGATAATTAGCTGTCTTCTCTATCTCTCTAATCTCTTCACCCCCTCTCCAATCACTTTCCCAAAACCCTACTCCAACAAACAATCCCTATCACCAGCAACTACCTTCGTCGCTGCAGCCATTCCCACCAATGCCAACTTCTTATCGACACCCAAGCAGCAATCACATATTGCCCTTTCGACACGCAGCGCTGCAGAGCCTAATGCAACAACATACATATCAAGTCAAATTCTTCATAGCTACAACATCGTCGCACGAAGTAGTGACTATGTACGCCCTGTTGTCGCTGCTACATTCGCAGTGATGATGAGAACATATCGTCGTTGCATTGTGTGCGGCTAAGGCTGTGAAAATATTTGTGGTGGTGGTGGTGGTGGTGTCAGTGGAAGCGGTGCTGTGGGTTTGGGAATTTTTTTGGCAGTTGTGGTGTGGTAGAAATGGTCAACGACATCGCTGCGCGATCTGTTGTTGTTGCTGCATGACCATCAGCTGCTGTTACGCGTTCCTCCTTCTTGATCCATCGTAAATCTATTTTTTATTTACGATTTTGGTAGTCGACAGATTTTTGTGCAGTTCGATTATGGTGAAATGTGGGTGCGGTGTTGCGTTGTCGTTATGTTGTGCTGTGCTGTGCTATGCGGTGGTAGTGGTGGTGGTGTGCAATGTGCGGTGTGTGCATTTGGGAGAGTGTTTGTGTCCATTTATTTTAGGTGGTCATGGTGATTCGGGCGATGGTGTTCGACAGTGGTCGTGCAGGTGAGGTGTTTAGCAGTGGCAGAGATGGTGGGTGCAAAAAATTGTGTTCGATGGTGGTGGAGATGGTGTAGTTGGTGGTTGGGGTGGTTACAGTGCTTTTAGTGGTGTTTGAGTGGTGGTGCGATGGTTTGGGTGGGTAGTCTTGGTGGTGGTGGTGATGTTCGTTGCGATGTTTGAGATGATGATTTTGCTATCGGGAAGTGGTAGTTCTGGCAACAGTGGTTTCGATGACTATGCGACTATTGGCAGTGGTGAGATAGTGGTCACAAATGATTTGGTAAAATGTAATCAATAAATTGGTTGATATGTGATCAATAAGCAATATGTGGCCAATGAAATTAATAAATTGTGACCAATAAATAACGTGTGACCAAAAAATGACTAATAATTTGATAATTTGTGACCTAAACATAATTTTGTAATCAATTAATTTTATATTTTGTGATTTAAATTGTAACTTATAAAGTTTGTCATTTGTGACCAAGAAATAATATGTAACGTATTAATTTGATACATTTGAGACCTATAAAATTTTTAATTGTGATCGAAAAATTATTTGTAATGAATTAATTTGATAATTTGTGACAAATTGTATAGAATTGTGACCCTTATATTTAATTTATAAAATATACTTTTAATTAATTATTTTAGAAATAAAAATTAAAAAATATCTTATTTTTTATAGAAACATTTAGTGAGAAAGCTGTCCTAATCAACTTCCTTTATAAACTTCTCTAATCATCTAGAAAATTATACAAACATGTTCAAAAATAATTTTTTTAGTTTCAAAAGTAGTTTTTAATTTTTCAAAATATTGCCAAACAAACTCTAGGTCGTGTGAAACTGCCATAATTTTATATTGTCTTATTAAGTCACTTATTGGTTCGATTCTAAACCTAAGTCGAACGGTTAATAAATTGTTTAATTCAATTCAAAATCAAAATATTGATGACTGTGGACCCAAATCAAATTTGATGGTGAAATTCACGTTGATTCTAAAAGATAAAGGAGATTCTCAATCGGGTTTAAATTTTAATGCATTTTTTTGCTTGATATTTTGCATGCAATTATGTTTTTTTTTTAGATGAAAAACATTTAAATCTTCTTTAAAATTATTGTGCATCACTTTAGTTTAAAAACTTGTACGAAATTCGATATTCAATTGTTCATTTAAACTCGTTTGAAATTTTTTAATTTGCAAGCTTATAAATACATTGGATGAATATTTTCAAAATATTGACTTAAGAGGTTTCCGTAATTGTTGAAAGAAGCTTGTTATATGTACGGAAAAAACTTACATACACTTTGACATAATGCTTGGATGTCGGGGGGGGGTTGAAGGGGAGAGTTTGTGCGGTCAATTATTTGCTACCACCACTGCATCTATAAACGAAGTCGGCAATATTTTCTATAAAAGTAGATAAATCCCCGTTGAAAAAAGATGGAGTGGAGTGCGTGTAGTTTTCCGATTACGAGGCATATAAGGGGTAAAAAAAAGAGACAAAAATAGCGTGAGAAATTTAACATCCATAACCTCAGGATGTTATGTAAATTGCTCTAAATTGTAATTATGCAGTAAAAAGAGAAATAAATGAGAACATCAAAGAAAAATTATTTAAAACTTTTAACTATTAATCCTAAAGCAAAAGTAAAACATTTTCGTCTCTTAGCTAAGAATTCCACCCCAACCATCTTTAATACTCGACTATAATATTAACCAACTGTTTGATAACTATTCTTTCAAAACTTTTTTTTTAATACTCATTTTCATACTAAAATATTTTTTTTTACGTAAACTCAATTTTTTTTCCATTTTTAACCACTCATTCTTAAAAAAATTACTATTCAAAAACTTATCGTTTAAAAAAAATAGTAAAATTTGGCTGTCAAACAGTGGCTAATATCCATGAGATGTGTGTAGAGGTGGCGTTAACGTAGATACTGTCCTAATAATTTCTCAATTATGCAACGGGTATAGAAAAAAATTGACATAATTTTTACAGAAGAATACTTGACAATTTTTTATTGATTTTGAATTCAATAATGGCAGAAAATGCACCAGGGTCCATGTACTGCAGCCAAGTTTATCTGAATAATTCATAATTTCTACATGAATTATACTCATGCAAGCAATTTTGACTGTACCAATCAAACTGTTATGATTATTAAATCATGGCCCTTTTTCAGCTTTCTTGGATTCTGTGTTTGAGATGACAAAAGTAAAGTCCAAAGCCATTCAAATTATTGTTCAGCCAAAAACAAAAGGTCCTCCCACCACTTTGACACCATTTCAAGCCACCCCACTTCACCCCGTCTCGACCCCAGCGGGTGGGGGTGGCCTCATATTCTATGCTATTCCATCCATGGACACTCAAACCCTAGTGAAGAAATGCAAAACCATTGACAATGGATCTTTCCGTTTTCTTGAAAATTTGCACAGAAAAGCTAAAAGTTTAAGCATAATATGAAGAAGATGAAGAAAATCAATCACATAATTAACAAACAAATAATTAATCCCTCTCTCTCTATAAACGGTTGTTTACATTTAGTAGATTTTAATACATACATACATATATGTATAAATAAAGATTTGTCTCTGGATATACACTGATGAAGATGACAACAGAAATTAACAAACTTCTCACTTAGGACAAGTAGTGGATTAATGGCGACACATATCATAATTAATGACTAGAGAGAGAGATCTAGAGAGATAAAGAGAACACCATACAAAAATTATAAACGCCATTACTGCAGCTCTAGAAAACTCTAGAAAATCTTTCTTAATCTTCTTCTTCTTGTTTCTTCTTCGTCGATGAAGACTCGAACAGTGACCATTCATCCTTTGAAAAACAGACTTACTTGTTGGAAATAGGGTTTGGTCCACTTGGAACTTCATGATCACCAGCTTCAAATTCTCTCTTGGAGGAAGAAGATCCACGTGAGTATTTTTCCCTCTTTCCTGGGTGAAAATTCGTCGATTTTCTCGAGGAACCAGAGTTCAAGAGTAGCCTTTTAGAGGGAAGTGATGAATCCATGGAGGGTTTTGAGGGATCAGAGGAATTGACAAGAACAAGAAAAATAAAAACAAGCCCAAGAAACAGAAGAAAAGGGTTTGTATATTTTGTTGAGATTTCTGCAGAAAATGATGAAATTTTTGCCATGCAATTTTGAAATATAAACCACCCCCCTTGAAACCACAAGAGATCAATATCCATGAACCAGATACAAGCCACCAATGGCTAAGATTTAGGGCAGACAACGATCCCACCAGAGAGAAAGAAGAAAGAAGAAGAAACTTCAACAAAGGTAGATGAAAAGGAGGACTTGAAATTCTCTGAGACAACTAAAATTTAGCTTAACATGGAAGTATCAAATAGTTTGTCTAAAAAGAGACAGGGAGAGGTAGAGAAATTTTGACTTTCATACCACACCTTTTTATCGTGGAAATGTATTGTGAAATGAAAGATTACTTTTTAATTACTAATAAATTTGTCATTAATACTATTATGATGTCACTAAGTTTTTAGTGGGTTTAGATTTTATGTGTGTGATTAGTGCTCTTCTCCAATAATTAATGTACTTATTTTTGCAAAGCTTCTTAAAATATTGTAATTTTAGGTTAAATTTTATTATAATTGTTTCCTTAATAAAAATATTATTTTGTTTATTAGTTAACCTGAGTTCGTGAAAGTAAATCTCGTGTTCAGTTAGCTCGTATAATTGTTTGTTTTCGTATATAAATTTTAAAATAAGTTATTCTTGAAAATGATAATCATTTAGGTTGAAGCGATGGTGATAGTATCTGAAGAAACGAACAAGTTATTAAAATTAGCGTATCGTAATATTCATTAACCAAAAAAGCCATTATGTAACATTCATTGGTAGATCCATTTTTTGTGATTTCCTAGACTATATGAGTTCGCCTCACCTAAAATTAATTGGATGCATAAGGCATTGTGATCCGCCTCAAATACAATTGTAAATTACTAGAATTTTCCTAGAGACAATATGTTCCAACTTCCATTTTATACCATAAAAATGAAAGTTGTCATCTTTTCTTTTCTTTAAAAATTGAGCATACCCCTTAAGGTAGAATTTTTAATGTTATCCACGATTGATGTGAACCTCGTTTCTTGATAATTGACTCGATATCATTTGATATATAGCAACTTATGTGCAATAAAGAGCATATTAAATTCAGAGAGTAGTAATACACTCCAGCAATACTATCTATTTTAACTCTTCATTTTGTTTTTCAAGAAACGTTTATTGATTTCTCATTATCTTTTATTTGATGTATACCTTTTTTATGTCAATTGCCAATCAATTGAAATATAATTGAAATTATTAAATTCAATAATTATAAAGTAAGAATATAAGTCTCTTGGAGCTTATTTGAATGAATTAACTATTTAAAATAGACTCAAATAATTCACATGAAACTATTTCTATTTGCACAGACATATTCTATCTAATCATTTTAATTATCTAATTCTCTTCGAATTTCCAAAGTGCAAAGAAATGGGAATTTGAATTAAGGTATTTTAGTCATAAAGTTAATTTTTCCCTTGGATGGGCCATTGAGTGAAATTGACATTAATAAAGAATCTTGAAAATTGAAATTAAAGAAAGAAAAAGATGCATTGCTCCATATTGAAAGAAAAGGGGGTGGAGTGGGTGGGGGTTGCAGGAGATTTAGTGCCTTTATCTTTTCCAAAAAAATAAATAAATATACCCATCTTTGACTTGGGCAAAATCCCATGTCTGAAAAAATTGCATATGAATTCTTTTTGCTTTATTTTTCTTTTATATTATTTATTAAAAAATGTCCCTTTCATGCATGCTCTATCTTGCAATTCAAGGTATGAGTAATGTTATAGAGTGCTCCATATTCTCTATCTTTGTAAAAGGTTCGAGGTGAAAATTTTATTCTTTTTTTTCCCAACATTAATTTTTTTAAATATTTTTTTTCTAGTTTTTTCGACCAAAATATATGTAATATTTTCTAAGTAAGAATTATCAAAAGCAGTGTCAAATTAAAATTATCAACAATATTTGGTAAATAAGATTAATTAATTAAATAATATTTTATTAATTAAATATATTAAGGTCACAGTATTATAAAATTTATAATAGGACTTGGAATAGTCTGAACTGTAGCCCCCTTCCTCCGCCTGTACGCAATTGCGCCCCCGTTCAGCTTTCATTATTTGAGATTATAATTTTTGAAATAATATTTTTTTAAAAAATGTGCGGTAAAAAAAAAATTGAGTTTACAAGTAATATTATTTTATTAAATAAT